AAACACAAAAGTCAATGAATAAGCAGCCAGTGCAAGTAAAGCAAATTTACTAAAGACAATGGGACTTTCGAGGAGAGTGAGGTGAAAGAAAAAGGGTCTGCACTCAACAAAAAAGCGGTCTTTACTTTATTACAAATTTTATACTTATACTTATATTTTTTTTTTTAATTTTAAATTATTTATCCTTTTCTTACATATATTTGACGAATATAACAATGTTAAATTTATAGAAACAATACTAAACATAAATAAATTGTCTGTATCAATTTGACATTCACGTTTGATTGAATAATTTAATTGATTTTGACGAAATTTGTACGGAATTTGATTAACACTAGTAACAGTTCTTATCAATTTTTTATGTGCAGCCTTCCAAATTCAATTCATTTTGTTCGTAAGTGATTTTTGATTAAGATTATTTTGATTAGCTTCATTAGGCTCTACGTTTAGTCTTATGATCTCAAATTATACGATTTTTTTTTTGACTGCAGAGGGATTTGCAGAGGAAAAGGGCAGGAAGTACGCCCAAGCATGGCTCGATGCGACACACATGGCATAAGAAAACAATATGGCAAAACAATTTAGATAAGTTCAAACAACTGCCGAGCCCCTACTCTTATTTTTGCACGCTCCTTCCCTTCTGAAAACGCCTCGGAATGGAAATGTTTTTCTTGGTTAGGAATGCTGGGCCTGCAGGGCGAAAACTAGGAGAGAGTCGGTAAAGTAAGTCCTCGCCATGTTATAATAATAGTTGCACTACCCCACTTTTCCCATTCGACTTTCATCTTTTCCGCCGTGTGCTGCGATCGTTAATCACCGCCAGGGGGTTAAGCAGGCGTTGAGGGGTTAAGAGGGGGATTCCCCCCTCACCCTCATAAGCGGAAGTGCGTGCCATCCTGCAAGATCCCATCGCGAAACTCGCCCACGTCATCGTCCCCGGGTGTCCTTGTGTATATTTGTCATGACATTGCAGTTTTCAAGTTAAGTTGCTATGGAATTTTCATTTTCCTCGCCGAGTACCAAAAATATTTATGGCTGGAAAATGAGGGACGGGGAGGGGAGGGGGGAAAATCTAAAAGGAAGTGTAGGAGGAAGCGCTGACAGACAAGCCCCAAGTAATTTGACCAAGTTCAAAGTAATGTTTTGAGTGCCGGCAATAAAAAAAAAATGAAATATTGAGATTAGGACAAGCGCCTTTTTTTAGTCGACTGGGGTGTTACCCTATTTTTATGTACCCAACCGAATTCCCAGAACTATCGCTGTATTTTTTGTATGCCATCCAATCTGCGATCGTAAAAATAGGGGAATGCTCTTAGTTTACGACCGAATTGAATGATATGAGCTATTCGCTTATGTTCCAAGTTTCTGCCATTTCGCAGGGTATTGTGAGGAGTACCAAAAAGAGAAGCGTATATATATATATATATAGAAGGGAAACTGCATTCATTCCTTAATGTGCCCCGAACAGCTTGTCAAGTCCTTGTTTTTCTTGTTGCCCTTTTGTTGTCAGCTTAAGCGAGTACCGCCCACCGCCCCCTTAACCCTCTGGTGGCCGACTCCAACCCGTCGTCGCCTCACTAAACCCATTAAAACGTCATAATCAACATAATCATAAAGATAATGCATAACAGAACAGAGGGGAGAATTTGTCCGCTGGTCAGCCATTTTTTTTCCGTCTCCCTTCGCTTCTTTTCTCCCGCTTTCTCTCTCATTATTATTTCGCCAAGCTTGGCCACAAAAGGCGACTAAAGCCTGACCTTTGCTTAATTATGGTAATTAGCACACACAAAAAAAAAATCCCCAAGTCGTGGCAAAGAGGCAAAACCAAACGAGATTGAACGAAACGGAGTGAAACGGAAAGGGAACGGGGTGGCAATGGGACGGAAATGCACAAAAGGGAAAACTACTGGATCAGCACGCAGCAAGTAACAAGTGTTATCTATTACGCGATTTATTGAACAATGAATTAAAATGAGCAACACCAAATGCAAAGGTTTCCATTTTATCACACCAACCCAACAAACTTATTTTAATGGTTATTTAAGGATTCAATAAATTGCCAACTAATTTTAATTAATTTTAATTTTAATTTTAATTTTAATTAATCTTGGCCAAAGAGCATTTTCTCATTCTCATTCTTTTATTTTATCTAAATGCTATATGATTGCACTCTTTTTAATTTTATATACATACAATTTGAGCAACGAATTAAGAAAATGAGTACCCTGACGTAAAACACTAATAAAATTTGAATAATAAATATAATATTTAAATGCTTATGATATTATGCATTTTGTATTCCCAAACACAATAGTTAGTGCTATTACTAAAACAGTTTATTTATATATTTTTGTATGACAATTCCACTTTTCCTCTCGGTGTCATTGTCTGAATTTGTAACTGCATCTGTGTTCTGTGTTCTTTGACTGCGAATGTGGATGATGACGTTGACAACGACGAGAATGGACCAAAGCTGCTGTCCTGATATAAATATTAAAACATAGAAAAAACCAGAAGCCAAAGGACCAAAACCAGGACCAGGGAGTGAAAAAAGTGAGCAGCAGCCAAAAGCTGAAAGCCGAAAGTGAATTGCTTCCGCATTTTCGTCCGCTTTAAGCGTTGCTCAGAAGCGCCCGCAGCCACGCCCTCCGCCCCACCAAAGGCCACCGCCCCCGAAAAGAGCTTGCAATAATATTATGCAATATTTGTTTCACTTTGTCCTGGCCATGTTCCACTTTCTTTTTTTTTTGCCCCTCTGCTGCAGCTGCGTTTAATTTGCGCATTTCATTTAATTTGCCGTAAATTTGCGGACCATTCATTTTGTGTTTGCTCAGAGGGGTTAAGGGCGGTGGGCAGTCAAGGGTTAAGGCTTGAGGGTTTTAGGGGGCGTGCATGGGGCTAGGGGATCCGGTTAAGTGGGGACAACTTCCGCTGCTGTCAAGTTGAGGTGCGCTCTTTGTTGGGCAAATTATTACAGTCTGCAGTTTTCATTTTGCACTGCAGATTCGTTTTAAAAATTCCGCTGCATACTTTCAGGGCCAAAGTTTTCACAAAATTAGCTCGAAATAAAAGGATCAAAGCGGAGAAGAAAGATAATTGTAACATAAAAAAAAATAACGCTAAGCTTCTCGAAGAGATAGAAAATGTTTAAGAAAAGGAGAAGACAACAATTGGTTCCTTAAAAAATTAAAACTAAAATCAACTATAACCTTGCGTTTTTTAAAAATAATTTGTGTATTAATGCTGTTAAAAAATTGGTTTTTATATTTTAGATTTCTCTAATCAAAGCACATTGCAATTTTTTATAATTAAAGCAAGTATTCTAATCTGCTCCAATTCTTATTTTTATCATTGATGGATTTTAAAAACAAATCTTTTTCAAGGAAAGCCATTCACTATGAACAAAGAATTTAATTATTTCTGGACAGCCTTTAAGTACGTATTTTCATTTTTAATTTGTTTAAACAATTATTAATAAAATTTCATGGCAAATATGCTTTAATTTTTATTATTTTCTGGCGTTTGATAAGTCTAAAGTACGTAGCGTTTAAATGAAATTGTTTTGGCATTTAAAGTCTTTGAACTAAACGATGCGTGCCTTTGAGCTCGTTTTTTTTACCCTCTTGTCGATGAACTCCCACGAAAGGTCAACCGTCTGTGGTTGGCATCAATCTGGCAATCTGGCAATCTGGCATCAAATGCCGGATCGACTCCTTTGGCCTCATTAAAGCGCTTACCCTCGGCGCACAGAAACCCAAACACACAGAGACATAAAGAAAAAAGGACGAGACAAGGACTTGGGGCAGTCAGTAATGTGTAATTTATTGCTTCGCTCAAATTGAAACTAAGCGCCATTAAAAAACAATAAACTAAACATGTAATAAATTCAGACCAAACAAGCGCACACATATGTACTCACTCATACATGGCCTATATAAACATATATATATATATATGTGTACGTGTGTGTGTGGTAAATATACCAAGGCATCGCTAAAACCAAAACACACACAACTGCAATGGCAAACGGCAAAAAACTGTGCAAAATAAATTGACCAAATCTGTTGGATAAAAGGATTTGAAAGCAATTAATTGCCAGCGCATAAAAAACATCAAAATACACACACAATCGAAATTGCTGCAACAACTAAAATAACAACAATAAGGGCAACAAGAGAACCAAATTGCACTTGCCAAATTACCAAAAGAAATATAAAATCTAGTTCAATAGAAAAAAAATGTACAAAACATGTGGAGAGAAGAACATTCCAATAGTTACAAATTGGTTTTTAAGAAACATTTTTGAAATAGTTTTTTATATAATCTTACGTTCAAGTAAATGGCTTTGCAAAAAAAGTGACCCAAAACCAGCGCTTCTCAGTCCATAACTTTTCCCACAAATGTCCTATATTGATAAGGCATACTTTTAAAGGCTTGTAGCTTGCTTTAATATATTGGTTTGTGATTTCGAATCGATTTTCTTGGAATTTTTGCCCTTTTGATTTTTGCCAAAACTGGCTTTGTAGAAAAATGACCCAAAACCTGCACATATAATTCCATAACTTTTCTTACAGATATTCGATTTTAAAAAGGCAAAATTTTTAAGTTTTGTGATTTAATATTGTATGAATCTGCATTTAAACTTTGGCCTGGGAATAAAAATCGATGTTCTGCGCGATTTGATGAAATTTAAATTTAAAAAAATGTTTTTGTAGAAAAATTACCTAAAACCAGTACTTTTAATCCCATAACATTTCTTAAAGACGTCCTTTTTTGAAAATATATACTTTTAAGTGATGGTAGGCATTCTTTTTAAGGCATACTTAATGATGCTGAGCATTTGAAAAGAGTTTAATTATAAAACCGTCAAGAAATCTAACAAACTGAACAACGAAAATCAAACATTTAATAGTGTTGAAGTGTTATATGTAAATGAGATATTAAAGCAGCCAACTAATAAGTTCTGTTGTAATTGTAATGTAATTGAATGATATTTAGCACAGGCAATGGTAGATAGCCATAGTAGTCTATTTGGACTTCTTGTGACCTCGGTGATAGTGAATAAGGGGCTTCCTATAGTTGACCAGACGCCACTTGGTGGATCGCTTGCGCCCGATCATCTTCAAGGCCTGTCTTATTTTGGATCTGGATAGACTGGTTTTCTCTACCAGCTCATCCATGCGTTGAAACTTGCAGCCGTCGTAGGATTTAATCACCTTGCGATATAAGTTATTCAGAGCAAGCTAAGGGAAAGTGGTAATCACAATTTAACTGCGGGTAGGATATATAATATATATAATCCTGCCTACCGGTTCCTGATCCCTGGGTGGAGAAATGCCCCTCAATTCGTCTTCGTAGGCCTGCAGATAAAACTTACTAATGCGCCACTTGGCGCGTTTAATCTTTCCCACATTTTTGAGTACCCGACGCAAGTTTTTTTTCGACAAATTGGTTCGTTTTTTAAGATCCTTGAGTGTTCTGTACTTGCGACCCCCAAAGGCCCTTCCCATAATACGATCAATGTGCTGAAAATATTCACATATAGTCGGGCTTTACTAAAATAAATTAATTATTAATCAATTTCAAGTTTTGCTTAGGGAACCTTAAATATTTATTGAACTATTTTTAGCTTACGTGTGTTTTGTTCCCCGAAGTTGATGTTTTTGATGGTTTTTGCTGTTCATTACAGTTTGTAGCATAATTCCTTTGTGAATGCCCCATAGTTTCCATTGGATAATAAGCCTGGGGATAATGGACTGTTTGATTGGGCTGAAAGCGGTGCATCGGAAACGGCGGCACATAACTTCGCATTGGCAGTGGATGGACATTCCTCATCGGATGGAACATACGATTGGACGGAATACCTTGCATCGGATGTACCGACTGATAACTCTCAGCCACTCTCATTGGATGGGTCGCGTGAGAAGGTGGATAACCTCTCATCGGATGGTGGTCTTGGAAAGCCTGGTTAATATTCGGATGGTTCATGTAATTAGGCTGAAAATTCCACATCGACTGGTACTGATAGTATGGCAAGTGCCTTGGCCGAGTGGTCATAGGATTAACTTCATGGAAATCATGTCGTGTTGATGGTATCTTAGACCCCAGCCTTGGAATTTTATAATGAAGCAAAGCCTGAAACTTTGGATCTTCGTTCTTCGTTTCATTTTCTAGTTTCCTTGTCTTTGGTTTCACTGGCTCATCCATTAATTTGGAGCCCTTTCGCTTCACTGACTTCGATTTTTTTGACTTCCGATATTTACGTTTCACATCTGGCACTGAATTTTTGGAGCTACACGGATTTTCATTTGCTGCTTCAAAAGCTTTTGAACTACTTGGCGTAACATCTGATTCAGAAATTTCGCAATTATGGGATTTTACATCTGGTTCATTTATTTTTGAAGTTCGTGGGCTTGCATCTCGTTCAGAAGTTTTACAATAAGATGTTTTCACATCTGGTTCAAAAAGCTTAGGACTACAAGGCTTGTCGTCACTTTTGTTCATTATCGAGTGACATGGCTTCATATCGGGCTTTAAAGTGTTGGGATTACGCAGTTTAGAATCTAGTTCTAAAACTTTTAAATTCATATCTGGTTCGTTGATTGATTTCGAATTGATTGGCTTAGGAATTTTGAGATCACATGCATTAACTTCTGGCTTGGAAATCTTAAAACAACTCGGTTCTACATCAAGCTTTGAGATTTTCGAGCTCCAGGGTTTCAAATGTGCAGCTTCAGAAACATCGTCATTTAATGATTTCACATCTTGTTCATTAATTTTGGAATTACTTAGACTTGGATCTCGTTCAGTAGAAATACAAGTTCTGACCTCAGGTTGTAAAAGTTTAGGACCACAAGGTTTCTCCTCTCTTTTGGCAAATGTAGGACTACATGGTTTTGTATTCGGTTCAGATGTTTTAGGATTACAAAGTTTTAAATATGCTTCCAAAATATTTGAATCCATATCTGGGTCATAGCTTGATTCCCAATCGATTGGCTCACAAATTGTAGAATTACGGGGACTAAGTTTTAGATTGGAAATTCTAGAGTTACTAGGTTGCACAACAGGCTTACACATTTTCGAGCTAGAGGGTTTCTCATCTGCTGTTTCAGAAACTTTTGGCCTAACTACAGATTTAAAAATTCTTACAGTTATTTTACAAGTTTTTAAATCAGGTTCAAAAAGTTTAGGACTACAAGAATTCTCCTCTCTCTTCGGGTTTAAATATGCTTCAAAAATGTTTGCTGCTGGAGAAAATTTTGAATTACCTGGATAAACATCAGATTCAGACATTATGGAATTCAAGTTTCGTATATCTCGTTTAAAAACATTTGATTTTGGATTTGCATATGGCTCAGTAGTTTTAGTATTGCAAAATTCCACACCTGGCTCAAACTGCTTAGGTTTCGTATACATTTCAGAAATTTTAAAATCTGGTTCAGTACTTTCAGGTCTACGCAGTTCTAAATCTGGTTCCAAAAAGTTTGGACTGAACTGATTTATATATGGTTTATTGACTGAGTTCGAATCCACCGGTACAGAAGTTGTATATTCAGGGTACTCTTGCTCGATTGACTTGGGTTTCTTCAAGGACATCTGATCAGGCATATAGCTTGTAAAATATGGTTCAGAAATTGAAATATCCGAATACGCTGGTACAGTAACTTGAGCTTCACAGGATTTGACATCTGAATTGGAATCCTGGAAGGGATTCTGATTAAACAACTGTGATTTAAATTGTTGTGTTGCCAGATTGGTTTGACCATTTGGTTCTAACTCTGGCTCAAAGAATGTATGATTACTTGGCGACACTACTGGTTCTGAAATATCCTGTTTATAAATAATCTGTAACGGTTCCCAATTTTGAGCTTTATCGGACTCCTCATCTGGTTCATTTTTTATTATTCGTTCATAAAAATTCTCATCTGTATTCTGATTAATCGATTCTCTCTCAGATTGTTGTGCTGTCAGTTGCGGTGTGTTTTGTGTGGCCTGGTGAATTTTAAAGGTGTTTAAATTAAATTAATTTACAGCTTACTAATAATAAATAATAGGTAGTAAATCGAGTTTTTTTTTTCATTGTTATTTGATATATAATATTTAAATGAAATTAAATGCATTCAAATCAAACAGGGACAATTTTAAATCTTATTTTCATGCAACTTAATTACAAGTAGTTATTTTTCCTTTCGACTTTACTTACCTCATCATGTTTATAGAACTGGGGAATCGCTTTGTATTTCGTGTCGTGATCGTTGTCACTATCGCTGCTGTCGGAATCCTCGCTCTCCAAAAAAGGAGCTGCCGATGCGGATGGTGGTGGTGATGATGCGGATGCTGACGATGCAGATGATGATGGCGATGAAGTAGAAGTCGATGACTCCGACAAGTCTGGCACTGGAATCTCACCGAATGGACACCACGGAATCGGCGACACTGCTGAAATGTACGCCGAACCCAAGGCCTTCAGATGCATTTCGAAACTCGAAAGGATCTCGATGGGCGATTCCGGTGGCGATGGTGATGACTCAAGACGGGATGGCTCACCCAGGGGGTTGTTTAAGTTCGATGGCGATTCGCTAAAAGCTGGATAGTCTTTGTGCAGCATTAATCTGTCTGCCAAAGACAGAGATGAGGAGGATCTAGATCTCGAAGATTTAAGGCTCGATCTTGAGGACGGCGATAATGAAGCGGAACCCGAGCTTGAGGACGACATTGATGAACAGGAACACGATCTTGAGGGCGAGGATGATGATGAACCGGATCTTGTTTTCGAGGACGACTTTGATGAACAGGAACACCCTCTTGAGGACGACGTCGATGCTGAACCGGACCTTTTTCTCGAGGACGACTTTGATGAACAGGAACACGATCTTGAGGACGACGATGATGAACCGAAATTCAATCTTAAGAACGAGGACGAGGACGAGGACAAGGAAAGTGATCGACGGTTCGAAATAGGCGATACGGATCTTGACATGGACCGCACTCGCAAACGCGTAATTGAGCCATCTAAAGTCTATAGTAATAAAATACGAAGAAAACAATTTACAACAATACATCGTTTTATTTTATTTCTACATTTTGTATTCAAATTATTTTTAGTTTATATTCATCTTATTAACTATTTAAATAAGCTAGAAATAATATGATATACACTATTATTTTTATAGACAATGAAATGGAACTTCAAAAGGTATTTAAAAAAAAATTACTATATAAGATTAAAGAATTGACAGGATTTTCATACTTATAATTAAATCATATGTCTTAAATTAAGTATTAAATAAATTATCTTGGGATTTATTTCTAAAGATTACTCTGCAACACAAATGTATAGTTTTACATTAGCTAAGGTGTTGAATATAAACAAAAGTAAAACCCTTTTAATTAATAATGAACTTGTCGCTTTTTTTATATTTTTTGTGTAGTTGTATAATAATACTTTCAAATGATATGTTTTCAGAAAATCTTTTTTTACCTTTAATATACTTAAATGCTTCCAAAAAAATGTCAATAAATATTAATTATGTTAGGAACCTAAGCGATTGTGATTTAGTAGCACATTAAATATAGTTTATTAAATAATGAACAATTCAAGACTTACCACACTGTAACGCACTGGCCTAAAACGTGGTCTATCCGATATCTCTGGTTCATTCTTCATCATGTTGTTAACGTTCTCATCCCTGGATGGAACCAGTGGAGTGACCTCCACACTGGCTGCACTTGGGTAAGTCATTGGGCTAACTACTTTTCCCCGAGACTGTACTGGTTTTTGGGCGACGGGCAGTCGGGGTTTTGTGGGTGCCATTGGAGGTGCAGAAATCGTTTGCTGTGTTGATGCATTAGGTCTCATGGGTTTTGTGTTAGGTGCGGGATTCATGGATTTCATGGGTTTGGGATTTGTAGGTATCATTGGTAAAGGATTCGTACGTGGTGTCGGTTCAATGGGTGCGTTTAGTGGCAAATGCTTCTGGGGTGTTGCTGAATCGAAACTACCATCTTTCGAATATCCCTGAACAAGATTGGTTTTGATGGCTTTTTTTCCTTTCGGCGCTTTAATTGGCTTGATCACTTTGCCAATCGAGTGCCATGGTGAACTTTGAATATAAGGAACTACTGGAATCGTTGGTATTAGTCCGGCAGTGACATCCGGTTTTACATGTTCTGTCGGCTGAGTGGGTTGTTTCACAATGGTGTCGGTATCAGTTTTGTTAGCAGCCTTCTTTTTCTTTGTGACCTTGGCATTACTGGGCTTACTTTCGGTTTCGTTAGCATTTTGGGAAGTGCTTGGCTCAGAGGGTCTTGCATCTGAAGGACTTGAACTTACAGTTTCCTTGGCTTCTTTTCTGGCTTCCTTGATCTTCTTCTTGGCAGCATCCCTCCTCAATTGTGCAATACTGGGCTTCGAGGGAGCCTTGATAGTTCTCTTAACGGGCTCCTTTTTGGCCTTGGCATTTTTCGGCTTTATTTGTTTCTCACCTCCAATAGTTCTCTGAGTTGGATTGTCAACTGTATCAGTTGGCACAACATTTTGATTAGTTCGTATTTTATTCCTAATTTGTTTTCCTGGTCCAATTGACACCACTGGCGAAATAGGCCTCATTACATTCTCTGTTGGCGGTTTTTGCTGTATATTTTCCTGCTCCTGGCCAACGGCCACAGAACTTTCCTCATTTCCTATTGTGCCCCAATCAAATTCAAAATCCATCATGTTCTCTTCCTGGAACGGAATTGAAAGTAATTTAATTAATTAATTTATGTATTTTACAACTCACCTGAACGCGATTGCCGGTTTCGGCGAAGACGTCGATGTTGCTGACATGCTGCCTGATGAACTCGAGTAGCTCGGATTCCGTATCTCCAAAAGGCGTGCTCATCGTTTGGGTCCCCTGAAAGCAGTAGCCAAATTTTCAATACTTATTATTAAAGTGGCGACACTTGAAGTCGCATAAATTTACATTTCCAGCTAAGTTTAATTACTGGAATGCGTAACATTAATTACAAATTATCAAAACTTTATTCTGTTGAGATTTGTTACACCCTTGCAGAGGTGAATACTAGTTTTACTCTGAAAAATCGGGAACTCAGTAGAAGTAGAAATCCATGACCTATAAAAAATATGATATTATAGATAAATATTTGTCCGTCCGTACAGGAATCATCAAATCGCTTCTAATTTTTTTGTCCATCTACGCGTATAACACAAATCAAATAATATTTATACGCCTACGGAAAAAGCTTACGATATGTCCTTAAATATTTTATTTTTGAACTAAATATAAGACCATTAAAAAATCGAGTTTTGAAGAAAACTTTTAATTATAAAAGTTTTTTTGTTGCATTTTTACATTTTCAAGTTATTTTCATAAAAATACAATAGATTAACTATGTTTCAAATATATTGTATTTAGGAAAAAAATTTTTAGTTTAAAATTTTTGCTTACGTAATCGGTAACTGACGTTAATCGTCGGAGTTATGACTTTAGCGTATGAATCATCCTGAACCTGTTTTTTTTTAATTTGAATTTGTCCAATTTTTGTGGATTGTATTTTAATACCTTGCAATTACTATGTTTTTAGAAAAAGTATTATTTTTACCTTAAATACACTTAAATGTTTCTCAAATAATTATTAGATATTATTGGATTAGGAGACTGTGCGATTGTGACATTGTAGCACATTAAGTATTTTGAATAATCACTAAATAAAGAAACTTATTCCAAACTTACCACACTTAAACAGACTGGTCTTGAAGGTGGTCTATCCGATATCTCTGGTTGGGCTGGTTGACCCGTTGATTTCCCAGTGTTATTCCCATTCTTCATCATGTTGTTCACGTTCTCACCCCTGGATGGAACCCGTGGATTGAACTCCACACTGGCTGCACTTGGGTAAGTCATTGGGCTAACTACTTTTCCCCGAGACTGTACTGGTTTTTGGGCGACGGGCAGTCGGGGTTTTGTGGGTGCCATTGGAGGTGCAGAAATCGTTTGCTGTGTTGATGCATTAGGTCTCATGGGTTTTGTGTTAGGTGCGGGATTCATGGATTTCATGGGTTTGGGATTTGTAGGTATCATTGGTAAAGGATTCGTACGTGGTGTCGGTTCAATGGGTGCGTTTAGTGGCAAATGCTTCTTGGTTGTTGCTGAATCGAAACTACCATCTTTCGAATATCCCTGAACAAGATTGGTTTTGATGGCTTTCTTTCCTTTCGGCGCTTTAATTGGCTTGATCACTTTGCCAATCGAGTACCCTGGTGAACTTTGAATATAAGGATCTACTGGATTCGTTACATCTTTTGTCGGCTGAGTGGGTTGTTTCACAATGGTGTCGGTATCAGTTTTGCTTGCAGCCTTCTTTTTCTTTGAGCCCTTGGCATTACTGGGCTTACTTTCGGTTTCGTTAGCATTCTGGGAAGTGCTTGGCTCAGAGGGTCTTGCATCTGAAGGACTTGAACTTACAGTTTCCTTGGCTTCTTTTCTGGCTTCCTTGATCTTCTTCTTGGCAGCATCCCTCCTCAATTGTGCAATACTGGGCTTCGAGGGAGCCTTGATAGTTCTCTTAACGGGCTCCTTTTTGGCCTTGGCATTTTTCGGCTTTATTTGTTTGTCACCTCCCATAGTTCTCTGAGTTGGATTGTCAACTGTATCAGTTGGCACAACATTTTGATTAGTTCGTATTTTATTCCTAATTTGTTTTCCTGGTCCAATTGACACCACTGGCGAAATAGGCCTCATTACATTCTCTGTTGGCGGTTTTTGCTGTATATTTTCCTGCTCCTGGCCAACGGCCACAGAACTTTCCTCATTTCCTATTGTGCCCCAATCAAATTCAAAATCCATCATGTTCTCTTCCTGGAACGGAATTGAAAGTAATTTAATTAATTCATTTATGTATTTTACAACTCACCTGAAAGCGATTGCCGGTTTCGGCGAAGACTTCGATGTTGCTGACATGCTGCCTGATGAACTCGAGTAGCTCGGATTCCGTATCTCCAAAAGGCGTGCTCATCGTTTGGTTCTCCTGAAAGCAGTAGCCAAATTGTCAATACTGATTATTAAAGTGGCTACACTCGAAGTCAAAGCTATGGCCTACTACGTTTGTATCGAAAACTTATATTATCGAAACTTATATGAAAATAGAAAGGTTTTTAATTTTCAGACAAAAAAAAAACAGTTAATACTCTGAAAAACTCAAGAAAAAGGAATCTATAGAAAAAAGCCAATGAAAATATAGAAAATATAGATAAATATGAGTTTTAAACAGGAACATCGAATCGAATTCCAAATTTTTCGGTCTATCGAATTTCTCCATAATAATAATAATACCCCAAGACCTCAAAAAGGGTTCCAACTGTTATTTACAGCCTGTAAATGGCTTGAAAATATCTCTAACAATATTTTTATATATATAATATAATACCATTACACAAAATACCACATAATAATAAGTAAATTTCATATGCTAATAATCAATGGAGACTTCAATCTTGTGCTTTCGGTAGTCAATCGTCAGTAGATGGTCGGCATAGCACTTATCCTAGACGGCACCCCACGATGGTATGTGGGGCAGTAGCTCCGTCCTGCTGGAACCATATGTAGTCGATGTCCTCGAAAATCTTTCGAAAAAAAAAGGGCTAGTCGTTGTGGATGATTTATTGGCTTCTCTAAGCTTTTCAGAATGCTGCCATTCTGATAAGCTTCGTCAAGAGATATGATTTTTCGATAAAAGTGCTCAGTTAAGCTGTAGAAAATGGATGGCAGAAGGTTCTTCGGCCCGTTGTGCAATCTAAATACGCATGAAGCGATCTTCTACAAATAATTTGAATTTGGTTTTATTTTAAAAATATCAACCAGCTTTATTTGATAGCCACCCTGTAGGTTTTATTGGTTTGACGCTCAAATGTTATCAGTTAGTCATTCCTTCACTGAACAAATAGGTTGCTGTGAGGCTAAAGGTTAAAAAGAATTGTATTTTGTTATCGCATCGTGCAGCTAACATTAAATTCGCAGAATCACATATGTTACCGTGTTATCTGTAGCTATACCTGGTTTTCCCGCATTCCACTTCTTTTTACGCTTTCGGTAAATAACTTAAGTATTCCTCTAACGACAAAATCTGTTAACTTCTATAATTTGACAATTTCTGCTTTATTTTAAGCAATTCAGAGATTCAGCCGTTTAGAAAATACCCAAAATTATGTTTTTTCGGAATTTAGAGATTTTATCGTTAAGAGAGTGCCGTATTTTAACAGGCACAAAAATCGCAAAGTGTCCATTTAATGATCGTGGTTTAATGCACCCAGCGAAAAACAGCTTGGTAAAATTAAACATTCAAATATTTATGTGCAACATATTGCTTTCACACATAACCGTACTTCTTATTGTTCTTATTTTTGATATAGTTGAAAAACATATTTCTGTATTACTTATCGTCTGGGACTTTATTGAGAATAAAACAAATGTTAAGTTGTGCATTACAATTATTGCTTGTTATACAATAATTGCTCAATTTTGATTGAATATTCTCGGATGTTGACATCAGCTTCTTCCTCCTGCAGGTCTACACGGAATTCCGAAAGGAGTTTGATACATAGGGATAAAATCGAATTATTATAGTTTTTCAGTAACAGAAGAGTGGGTAGTAGACGTTTGTATTGAACGATTTTCCATTGTTTTTGATCACGCAAAGTGTCCTCTAACATTTTGGCTGGTGAAGAATGAGAAATAAAACTTCCGGGCGATGGAGGAATTCTCATGCCTTGGTCGATATGTTCAAAATACTTGCATTTTGGCGGACTTTGTTGCGTATCATTTGCTTCACGCTTTGCAGCAAGTTTGAAGCAATCTAGTAAGTTTTTTGCATAGCCTCCAGCTTCTTCTGAGTTATTTACTGCTTTTTTATCGGTAACGTAGAAAGACCCACCAGTCTTATAATGCAGTGGTACATACCATCCGTATTTTTGTAAAATCGCAAGTAATTTCTTAGCATTTGATAGACTCAAAGCACTTGATGACAATGCACGTTGAATTTCATCGTAAAATTCGCTATTTATGATTAGATCGCCCTTTTTGAATTTGATAGCGTATTTTTCAACGACAAATCTAGCGATGCTGTAGGAAATGCGAGGCAAGTGATTGTACATATTCTGTTGAGTTGATGAATAGCCCAAAATTTTGGCATAATTTGCTGACTGATCGGATATGCGGAATTTCATCACATCGATTTCGTTGGCATCGAATGTGGAACTCTGTTGGAAGCCAGAGTAATTTATTGGGCGAATATGCGGACACCACTTGAAATCTGCCACTGTGTGATTGGTCATCACAAGTTGTCCATTGACATCTCTTTTTAAGCCTCTAAGGTATTTCCTGATGCTGTCGGAATCGATATCAATCGTAACATTAGTTTCCTTTGATTTACGAACGCAAGAACCGTTTACTTCCTTGACGAAGCGATCTTCTACTCCCAATCCTTGAAACTCAGGAGTGGAGTTTGCATCACTGCTTGAAATCCCAGATGTGTATTGATTATTTCCCACCAAAGTATTTTGCTTGCTTGCAGTAGAAATTGTTCCATTCTGTACGACGCTTTTAGCAGTAACGTTGCTCATATCAAAATTGTTACCATCTTTCGTCACATTTACGTTCATATTCTTGACGCGATCACTGATACTTGTTTTATTATCAGCTGTACTGGACGATGAATTATTGTGCAAAACCACTTGGCTACTTTTAATCTGTGTAAAAGCGAAAAATAAACAGAGTACTTGGACGTACTTCATGTTTGCTTGCGTTGATAATGACTACTGAATACGGGAACGATTGTAACAGCTAATTTATAGATCTCACATTCGAAGAATTGCTATATTATTTATATACTTTTGATAGCTATAGCGAATATGCAAAAAAAAGTACTCCACAATATACTTATGCGATTTAAAAGCCACGTAGCTTTGTTCGTGGCTATTTATGTACAATCCGTCATTTATTTTCGCTGATAACAACATTAACATATAAATATATTATTCATCATAATAATAAAACAAAATTCATATCAGTGGTAACGACCAGTTTCCTCCGAACAATATTATATTCTTGATCAGCATTTTTCGGAAATGTCATCACTCATATAGGGTCAGGTAAGTCCCGAAAAATTAATGGATTATTAACGATTATTGTCATATTAAAATATGATTGTTGAACTGACTCTCAGAGAGTTTTTTTTAGTGTGGGAAAATTTGACCAACACCAAGCGAGATTGACTTTTGAACCAGTGATAAGTCTACAAAACAGAATTCAGTGTCTGAATTCCTTAAATGTATAGCATATACATAGAGAAATGACTGCCTCTGATGGTAAAGTATAAATCATGTGGCGAAGAAATAATGAATTCAGTGCGCTACTAGGCCGACGAGTAAGAAGATGTTGTTAGTACATTTATTACTGCTAATATCGGCAGCGAGTGCACTTAAAGTGACACTCATCGACGGGAACGCTGAAACAACCATCGAAATCGAGTTTAATAAAAAAAAGAATTTAAAATTAGCTCGCGAAAAATTAATTTCGAATGGATCTATCGGTGTTAGAAATAAAACGCATGATTGGAGTATATGGAAAAATAATTCGCCAATTGATGTGGGTGCTGAGATATTCATAAGTGTTGAGATCATCGCTCCCGGCGATGAGCCAATAATCTTTCGCAACGTAAAAAACATAATAGACGCACTGAATATACAAATTGGCGCAAATGAAATACAAACCATCAGGATTAACTGGAACGAAAAACTGAGCAAGCTTCGCGAACAGCTGAATAAGAAGGGCTTTTTAGGTTCGCTATCAGAAAACTGTGTCCAATGGAAATTCCTCATACGCGACAGGGAGTATGTTTCCGATGAATCACAATGGACCATAGCGCAGCATCTGGAAAACATCAAAGAAACCAATCAACTTCAAATGACGGACATTTACGCACAAGACAGTTCGATAGAGCTTTACGTGTACGCAGGCTTGGAAAGTGTAACATTACCGAAAATCTCACCCGCCATGAATCTTTTTCGGTTGCACTCAACTTTATCTGGAGCAGGCACCTGCCACGGAATGAAGTACAATTTGTTGAACAACGACTGGCTGGCACTGAAAAAAACAACAAGTCTGGTAGATTTGAAGGCGGCTAATACAGATTTACAAATCCCTCTGGACTTGATATTTACGCCGGAAGAGGCAAAATTTTCCACTGTTCGAAATGCAACCTTCAAATCCCGCAGCGGTGTATACGGCATCGAGTTTGTGAGCAAAACGTCCAAAAACAGGAACATTATCGGCGAAGTTGTTACGCAATACAGTCGAAGTCATTCACCAAAAGTATCTGTGCGGATTGAGAAGAACACATACTGTCCGCAAAACTGCAATGAAGGTGTTATTCTTGATCCGGTCATGTTGGATAATGTGCAGGCAACAAGCGCGGCCGTGGTGTTCATGTCAAGAGTGGTTGTGTGCCAAGCCGGAACTGCATTGCGGTTCACAATCGACACTGAGCCAAGGACACCGTTTTGGATAAAAGTTAAAAACGACATATCCCAAGAAGTTTATGTCGATACTCGGGGGGATCATGGTCAACAGAGTTATTGGAATAAGGGTTATCAAAACATTGTCGCCGAATCGCATGTGATAACCGAAGAGGCAGATCTGCTGAAAACCGGTTACATGCCAACGTTTGTTGTGGAAGTCTTTCAACTGTTGAAGCCCCCACAGCGACGTCGCCGCGCTGCAGGGGACACAATAACATTGCCCAAAGAGGCAACTAATGACGGAGACATGGTCGCAAGAGGTGCTGCACACACGGGGTCTGGCAGCGATTTTGGCTATAAGCCAGGCAAACTACTGATGGAGGTTCGATTTATGTTACTGACCTTCAAGGATGCGCAAACGGCTCAGGAAATAATGGGACGCGGCGTCAGCAGGTTTCAAACAGGCCTTCCATGACGTCCTAACTGTCAGTTTTAAATTTGATAAATGTGTGTTGGGTTAACGATTAGTTCGACTCCCACATTATAAATGAAAAAGCATTATTAATGTAATTACTAAATCATTACTAATAAAAATTTCTTTAAATCTCTATTTACACATTGTTTATTAATCACCATAAAATGTATTTGTTTTTAATGGCTGCAGCGATTTGTAAAATGCAATTTAACAGTTGACTCAAATAATTTTCCATTGAAATAGTTGGCAGTAACATTTACATTATTGTGCTTACATCCAGTTCTGTTTAATGCAAATAAACCTTCGTCTAAATATATGAATTAAAATACATCAACTGTTTGTTTTATTTCTTCTTATTCATTCTACTGGTTATCATTATATTGCTTTTGTTCGAAAAGAACACAATCGTTATAGTTAAAAAAAAAACTTCTTCATTGCTATTACTTTTAAGCAATCTAATGAAATATTTGTTTTCACTATGATTATTTTTCTGACAGTCTTATAAAAATTTTATTCATTAAACTTTTTTTTTAATCTGATAAATTTTTCCTATTAATTAATATATGTTAATATTAAGTGAATAGAATTCAATTTCATTTAAATCTTCATTTATCATGTATCAGCTTAAATTCTTTAATTCTATATAAATTCTTAAAAAAAAAAATATTCTACAAAAAATATAGTGCATCTTTAGATATATTGTAAGGAAGGTCAAAATGACTACAGAGTTTTATAAGTAGTAATTACTTACCACTTGCCAGTCTGAATGTTCTGCTTATTAATACAAGCAAATAATATAATGCTGAGGTAATTTATGTACTCCCAGTTCGGATCGGCTGTTGAACCAGGGGTCCTTCGATGGGGTCACTGTCATGGTGGCTCCTGTTTGCCATTTGCCTTCATACGCACCGTTGAGCATTGGCATTGGCATTTGTTTGCCAGGTCCTGGCCTCGCCCTCGTCCTGTTTCAGTTGCAATTGCAGTTCCTGGTGCCACTGTTGCTTTAGCAGCTCTTGTGGTTTATTATAACTGCATATATCATGCAAATATCCCAATTTACAGGCATGCCCAAGAAACCCTACCGCCCCCCCACTCCCCCACTTCCCACGGAGCAACCGAAAATCCAAACACAAACACAAACACTGGAGAGGTCCTTGTATCACAGGATGTTTGGTTTCTGGGGGGTGTGTGGCTGGCTCTTTGGCGCTCTGCCTGGTTGGCCTTTTTTGAGGGCTACAGTGACAGGTCCTTGCACAAATTCGGTTTTTGCATGCTTAGCTCGTCTTCTTGCGCCCCAGCTCGTTTACGAGAATTATTTTATAAATTTTCATAGTTTTCACTTTGATTAAAAGTGCGGTCATGGCTTCTGTGGCCTGCATTTCTGCTGTGTTGGCCAGCTCCATTACCATGCGGAAAATGGAAAAGCCGGCCGCAAGAGTGCACGCAACGGAAATCGAGTGAAGTCCTGCGACAGCGTCTTAGGCTAAATCCTGCCCAGTTTTCCTTTCCGTTGTTAAAGCATGATTTATGGTGTTTGGTTTTTTTTTTTCTATTCTTAATTCCCAGATCTAGATGGTTTGGAAATTAAGACAGATTGCGGAAGGCTGCAATGAAAAAGTTCAACATTTTAGACTTGTCAGTTTGGTGCATAAAATATGCGTTTTTGGTAAGTTTAAAATGCAATAACTTATGTTCTACGAAATTTTAAAGATTAGAAGTTTAAGAAGGCTAAAATACTGCAACTTTTACTCTAGTTGATAAGAGTAATTTATGAGCAACCCAATAATTTCGTTGAAATATTAAATAGGTTCTATTAATGCATATGGTACTTGACTAAATATATCGCCAATTTGCCAATTTGTGGCAAAGCCCACAATTGATTTTGCTAAGCATGGTCATCAATTTCAGTTTCAGTCAACAAATCCCAGCCAGGGTTGATTTATTTGCTATCCAGATTTGCGTTCAGTGTAGCCGCACACTTCGGATTAGCCAACAAGAATTCATTGCATTATTGGCATTAATTGCTCAGCCAGCAAAAACCGCACCATTTCTCTCTTCTTCGAGAGTATTTCATTTTTGTTTCAATATTTGACAAATGCATTTATAATTGCTGGCCGCAGATAAAATCCGATATGCCATCGTCATCGTCTTCCGAACAATTTGTAATTGGTAATTTATGGCATTTCCTTGTTGTCTTAACGAGTTTAGGTCTTAGCTCCTATTCAACCGACAAATTCCAAACTGCATTGGCGTGTTGAGGTTGGCCAAGCAGTATCGACTGCAGAACTATTTGGATTATGAGGTACATGGCATATCGTGTTGACTAAAAGGTTTTTATTTCAAATATATTCCAATATGCAAATGAAAGGGAACGTAGTTTTCTTAAACTTCCGCCAAAATTATTGGTAAATAAATTTTAAAATGTATTTAATCAAGAAAATATTTTTAAGAATCCATTCACATCATAAACGTTTATATTCCCAAGAAGCATTTATTTCCATTTAAAACCATTAAAAAGCTCCAAACCAAATTCCCATGACTGCAGATTTGTGATTTGTGATAGCTGAGCTTTAGGAATTTCACCCACTCAAGCGCAAGCCATATACATTTTTTTTAATTGCCCGAACTTGTCATTTGCCGTCGACTGCCATTTAATTTTACTAATTAATTTGTTTTTCCCAAAAACACACACACCACGGATAAAACAAAGTGGAGCGGAGGGGGAGGGGGGCTCTAAAGACACGCGGCAGCTGCCGCAAAAGCCAAAAACAACAATTAAACATAAATCTTATAAATTTCCGTAGCCAAAACTTCCTGCCAAGGCTTTTTGTCTCCGCCACATACCCCTCTCTTTCGCACGCCATATACCCCTCTCTTTCTATAAAGACCCAAATGGTTGAGATTTCTCGCCGTGCCACCGAGCATATTTCATTTCGGCTGCAACTTTTCCAAGGCACGCCCACCACGCATGGACCCCGCCCCTATTTTCATCGCCCCCTTTTTCTTAGCTGAAAAAACTTTTCCCCAAAAAGTGGGGTGGAAGAAGAAGCTGGAGAAGCAGCAGTGCGCATTGTTTGTTGTCTAACAGTCTATGACTATTTAAGACAAGCGACAGCACCGGTCAAAATAATAGCACTGGACCGAAATGTTAAAATTGATCTAAATTTAAGGTTCATTTGTTTAAAAAGTTTGGGTTTTTTTTCCCACACTCCTTTGGCTTTGTGTTATAATCAATAAAATGGTAATTAAAAATAATTGTTATTTTCTTTTATTAAATATTAAAATCAATTCGTTATAAAATTATGGCACACATATGCCTTCTTCTGAAAAATGTAATAAAAATGAATAGATTGTTGTATTTTGTTGAAATCATAAATATGTCAAAAAACGACTTTTTTAAAATCTACATTTAGAATAAATTTTTAAATGAAAATATTAAATTTTTTTAAATTAATTTAGATTTAAATTTTAAAAAATTTGAAAACATGATTGATTAAAGTGTTTTAATTATTCTTGATTATTGTTGAAGATTGTTATATTAGATTGTTATATTATTAAAAGGCAATGTGAATGCTAGTATTTGAGGCATAGGTGTCTTTACACATATAAACCCACATGTAATTTAATTTTACTATTTTACTTTGGCTGCCGCTGGTTTTCAGTTTTCAGTTTGCAGTTACTTTGTTGGTGGAAAAGTGCAACAAGGCTACACACTCACACACACATACGCACACACACGCAGACAGAAACACATCGAAGGACCACACAAAACATTTGTTACAATTTCCCACGTAAATACTTCCTGCCAAGAAATGCTCTCGCACACGCACACTTACACACACACACATATGCAAAAGC